GATTGGCTGCTTCCTGCATACCCCACAATGGAGATTGAGACTGCAAACCAGGCATGTGCCCTGACCAGGAATTGAACCATGACCTCTTGGTTCATAGGTTGATGCTCAACCACTGGGCCATGCTGGCCGGTCAGGAAGGAATTCTTAACAAGCTGATCCTCCTGCAAGGAAGAGCTACTACAGGCTCTGGACAAAATACAACAAACAACTGCCTCAGGGCCTAGAGTGTGAGCAAAAGCAGGCAGATCTGGGAAGATACTGAAAATTGAACAAGCATCTCACGTGGAGTGTTTCCATTCTTTGATAGCTTTACCGGAGGGCAGAGGCTTGGGGCAGCTGAAACCCTGAGATAAAACCCTGCTATCTTTCTGGCCATTGGAATCAGGGTAAACAGAGCAACCAGAATCACTGAAGAGTGTGTGTGTGAGGAGGGTGAGGGTGGGGATCTCAGAAAGATGAGAGGTAGAAAAGAACCCCTAAATTTATGGGTACTCACATCTCAAGTCTTTGACTGACTCCGGAACCACAAATGCTTGCAACTAAGGCTTGAAGGACAGACTGTGAGCAGCCGCCCATTGTGGGTGTGACAGCCTGCAGTCTGAGTCTAACCAAGTCCTCTGCCTGCTAAAGATCTCAGAGCAGCCCTCTAAAGCAATATAAAAGTCCTCAGGGCCTCGACAACGTTCAGTTCACAGCGTTCAGGATGCAATCCAAAATTACTCAACAAAAGAAGAGCCAGAAAAATAACTCATTCTCAAGGGAATAAATAATTAACAGACGCCAACTCTGCGATGACTCAGATGTTGAGATTATCACACACGGACTCGAACGCAACTACTAGGCCTCTGCTCAGTAAGGGAGAGGAAAATGTGCTTATGATGAAACACAGGAGGTTTCAGCAGAGACAAAAAAATTAAATTAAAAACTCTACCTAAGAAGCTAGGAAAGGAGGAGCACAATAAACCCTTAGTAAAAGGAAAGTAAAAGAAAAGGAACAACACAGAAGCAGAAGCCAATGGAATGGAAAACACACGGAGAAAATGAACATCAACAGCTGGTTCCTTGGAAAGATAAACGCAGTGGTAGGCTTTGTCAACAGAGGGTGCTGGAGGGACTGCAGGCCTGTGCTGGTGCTGAACATGGTTAGCTGGAATTGGTAAGCAATGGGGAAACAGGAAGAATCTTCAGCAGGAGATGAAGATCAAACTGACATTACTCTTTCAGAAGCACAAGTGGTGAGATGCGTTAGAAAAGACGGATTAGAAGGCTAATGAGGCTGCATGGAGGAATGAGAATGCCTTGGAGTAGGAGCAGAGCAATAAAGGTGGTGGATGTAAAACATACAAGAGTTTAAACAAGAAGATAAGACTTGACAACTGATGAGATGTGAGGTACGGGAGAGAATCAAAGATGACCTTTTTTAAAAAAAATAAAAAATTTTATTGATTTTTTACAGGGAGGGAGAGGGATAGAGAACCAGAAACATCGATGAGAAGAGAAACATTGATCAGCTGCAACCAAGGTACATGCTCCTGACCAGAATCGAACCCGGGACCTTTGAGTCTGCAGGCCAATGCTCTATCCACTAAGCCAAACCGGCCAGGCTAAAGATGACCTTTTTGAGTATGGACAACGGGGAGGAAGTAGCACTAGTAAAAGAATGGGGGCATAAGGAACAGGAGTAGAGACACTGCCATTCTGACAAAGTTGATCCTATGACTGCGTTTAACTTATGGCAATTTCTTTGCTCTCTTTGAGTTTGTTTTTTAGTCAGAAACATAGAAAATAATAAGATATGGCTTTTTTCCAGGAAAGTTTTAACCTAAAAATAGGGAACAAAGGCAGGAAAGACAAGAGATTATCTAAAAACAATAAATGGTCTCCGATTTTATACGGATTGTTCATCTGGCAACAGTTTCCAGAGAATGCAAATATAACATACTTGGAAACATCTGATCTTTTAAGGAATAAAAAAAAATGTTATTTTATTTCTATAGATATTTATGGGAAAGCCTGTGTTTTTAAGGCAAGATAGTATGGGAGCTGAGAAGGTTGACTCTGGGGCCAGACTGCCTGAGTTCAAATGCAAGTTCTACCACTTGCGATCCATGTGTCTTTGGGCACATACCTAACCTTTATATGTTTTGGTTTCCTCATAAATAATAAAAAAAGTAAAACGAGTACCTATATCACAGAAGGTTGTTGTGAAGATTAAATGAGTTCAATGAGTTAATGCATGGTGCTTAGTGGTACAAATGTGCTTAGTGTCATCTAAACAAGTAAGAATTCTATATAACTGATCCCCACACTCTCCCCTGTGGATGAAAATCTGTGTATAACTTCTGACTCCCCAAAACTTAACTATTAACAGCTTACTGTTGACTGGAAGCCTTACTGGCAATATAAGCTGTCAATTAACACATTCTAATAATAAACTGTATTCTAACAGTAAACTAGACAAATACTGTATGTACTTATTGGAAAAAATAGTACGGCATGTATTTATTGGGGAAAAATCTGCATTTAAATGGACCCACACAGTTCAAACCCATGTTGTCTAAGGGTGAACTGTATGCTATATTAACAAGAGAAATTCAGCTTTCTTCAATTTATGAACTAACTAAGAGCTTAGAAATAAGAAAGCTAAAGATACATGTATTTTATTTAAAAGTGCTTTTAAATAGCAAGGAGCAATTCTCTTATGTTTAACCATTATGAGCTGAAAGCAATACACTGACATTTAAAGCTTATCAACTATAAATATGAAACCTGATAGAAATATAAGACTGAGAAACTTTGCAATCTAATTTAAGTCCTATATATTCAAAATAGGGACAGAAAATGGTAAAATAATAAACAACCTTGATTATTCCAACCATGATTATTACAGCTCTCTAGCTCATACTATGTAAACAGTAATTCAGCCATTACATTAAAAAAAAAAGCTTGTATCAATACTTTATATCAGAAGCCAAACACATTGACCACTGCTTGCAAACAAAATTGGACAGACTACCTTGAGATTCATTTGGGCAAGAAATTAATATATTACTTCATACCTTGGACAGTCAACCCTCAGAGTAGTAGTATGTTAAGGAAGAGAAATCTAAAAAAGTCTGACATTTTGCCTCCTCAGCCCCACTATAGCAAACATCCTCTAAATTGCTCTCACACTTTGTCTAATAAATTCTCCTAAGCTATTAATAGTTTGTTTACCCTGTAATTGAAGGGGGGGAAAGGCTATCCAAATACCCTAAATTAAAAAAAAAAATTAAGTTAGGTAATATTTTTATATCTCAATTAAATCTTGGGAAGTGCTCACTGCTTGCCTTAATCTAAAATTAAGAGCCTTGGCTGGTTGGTTGAGCAAAATCCCCTGCACCAAAAGTTTACTGGTTTGATTCCCAGTCAGGGCACATGCCTGGGTTGCAGGCTTGATCCCTGGTAGGGGCCAAGCAAGAGGCAGCCCATCAGTGTTTCTTTTTTACCTTGATGTTTCTCTCTCTCTCTCTCCTTTCTTCTCTCTCTAGAAATCAATAAAGATTCTTTTTAAAAAATATGAAATTAAACATTATATTATGGCACCCTCTTCTGGTAATATGATTAAAACACTATCACAAGATTAATTTTAGCATGGGAGCTTCCCTGCAAGATTTGAACATATTACAGCAATAAGAATACTGAATAGTGGTTATAACAACAACAACAAAAAATACCACAAAAATAAAAACCCTGTGAGAGAAGGGAAGAGGGGGGAGAATGCTACCTGCTCCACAAGACATTTATGCAGCCTGTCAGAGGTAGTCCCTGCACAACACTTCACTCAGTTAATTAGCATTTTGCTGAGTGTCTAATACAGGCCGGTTGCAAAGCTGAAGCTAGGATTAAAGTTGGCATAGTTGGACCATGCCCTGACGGAGCTTACGGTGAACAATTACAATCCAAGAGTAGGTTATGTACAGAGTGTTATGAAATCACAGACTGAGGAACCCAATCAGACCTCTAGAGAGTGATAAATAAGTAGAGTTTTGGAACAGGCCAAACTAACTGGATAAATGTGGGAAGGGAAATTTTAGGCAAAAGAACAGTATAAAAGCACAGAATTGAGATACTAATCATGATATGTTTGGGAGAAAATGTACTCGGCTAAACAGTAGCAGAAACAGTAGCCACAAAAGGCCAAATATGCTGTTAAGGAGTTAAATATCAAGTATGCATTAGACATAGTTCCTAAATAGATGAGATAATTCTGTTAACATTGTAATTAGCTTCTTACTAATAGGAAAGGAGCAAGGGAAGACCAGACATTTTAAGCATGGCTATCTGGCAGCTTCACCAGGAAGCTGCAACTTTACACTGGGAAGGGGCTCAATAAAGGGGAAGATGGATGCATGCAGAGTCAAGTTCAGGTGACATAAGGAAAATACTTGCTTGTTACTCTAACCTGGGAACAAAGATCATTGGCTTTGGGTAGAGCTAAAGCAAGCCCATGAAAATTTGGGAGTACAAAATCCAAAGACAAAGGATTCTCTCTCTCTCTTGCTCCTCTGGCTTTGCTCCTGCTTCTTTGCACTTGCCCATGTTCTCTCCATAGCCAGATGGCCCTGGAAGTGCCAGGCCATGCAGACCCCACACACAATGGATTGCAAATGGAAACACAAGCTAACCTAGCCTGATGCTTGACTGTGCGAATATGGAACCTCTGCTAAGATACAGCTGGACTTTTTCCTGGTGGGACAAAATGAGATGGGACCCTGGAAACTCAGGGATTTAATTCCATGCAAATAAGTATCACACATTCTCTTATTCGAGTCTCAGAAAATTCCTTTTCTCGTGACATCTTAAGAAGCCCACTTCCACCATCAACAGGTGGAGACCAGAGGACACCCCATCAATAGCAATTCAATGAAGTAAATTGAAAACAAAACTAAATACAGCGAAAACATGACTTTGAAAGGAAGAAAAAGTTGCAGAAGCTACGTGAAACAATTCATAATTACCTTTTAAACTCATCATGGTAGAATTCTGACTTGCACGTTACCATCTCACTACCTTGGATGTCCTCGCGACTTCTGACTCCCCCAAATACATACAGTTCCATGGCAACTCCACAGGCTACAGCTCCAAATCTGAAAGGCCACACAGAGCTGATTAGGATTTGATTTACAACTCCTGACCTAATTCCTCTTCTGCTTGTTTTAACTCTGCAATACTCAGTGTTTGGTGAATATGCAGTTCTTCCTTTTTCAGGAAATGGATTATTCATTTAATTTCATATAAACTAAATGCCAAGCCAAATAAAAGATTCATTTAAACGAAAGGAAGAGCAAAAGCCAGGTTCAGGGGAAAGCCCATATGCACATTCTTTCACCTTCTCTCTTTCAGCGGACATATAGCAGTCCATTGCTGGGTCCTTGGGTCATAACATTCCACAGATTCAAAAAGTTTTCCATATGACCCTCCACCCATGGCATAGATTTTCTTTTTCATAGCTGCATAGCAGCCAATCTGAAATAAGAAGACAACAGTGGGGAGGCAACATTTATTATTGAAGTTTATAGATAAATATTCACTTATCTAAGACTTCTAATAGTAAAACTATGGTGTTTTCCAATATTACAAATGATTTAAAAAGGAGAAGAAGAGAAACGTACCACACATATTGTTAATCCTCAGGGAAGAATTAACTTCATCTAATACTATTTCACTAAGATAATTAACAACCCTCTTATTCAGGGAACTTTCCAGTCTCTCTATTTTTTCATCACTACTGAAGATTCCAAGATTTAGATTCCATGAGCAAGATATCACTCAATTCCTGCCCAAATAATTTAGCTGAAAGGGCACAGACAGTGAGACAACCTATTATGAGTATATGTCAGTACTTAAAGGTGTACATACCTACGGCACCAGACTAAACTCTTGGCTTGATGACAAACTCACTGTTATCCCAGAGAGTATAAATAAAGACAGATGCTCTAATAGAGCCAATGTGACCATTTGTGTGTTTTTTATTCTACCCAGTGAGCAATGGTAGTTCTTTACCTCAAAATTAATGGTTCTCCCCAGTCCTGATGATTATGAAAATAGGTTTAGAAGATGTGGTTGCTTCCTAGGTTAGTGCACTAACAAAGCATTTCTCAAGTGTAGGCCTTGGACACAGCAGTGCCACATAGCCACTGTTAGGATAAATGCTCACACACCCTCCATTTCCCACCTTGGTGTATGGCTGATGATATAACAAAGGTAAGCAACCAACAGAGGCAGAATTCTGTAACATTATCAGTTGTATTAAAAGGTTTATGCAGGATGATGTTATAAAAAAACATCATCTTTAAAATCCAGTTTGTAATCACAAGATATGGTTCTTACCTTTCTAACCATGGTCAAATCAGGTTGCTTTGTCCAGGTTTTAGAATAAATATCATAACACTCCATGGAAATTAACTCTTTTTCACCATCTTCTCCTCCTAAAATATACAGCATTCCATCTATCTCCACAATTCCAAAGTTATGTCTTGCCTGAAAAGACATCAAAGATCTTTGTATACAAAAAGCTGTCATACTAAAAGCCAGTTTATGGATTTAATAAAAATTACAGATATGTTCCAGCAAAGAAGTCCATGCTCAAAACCCTCTGTCTCAAATATTTCTGCTTTCCCTAGCAGCTCACTCTGTCTATCACAATAGATAGAGAGAATCCAAGCCTAGGAATTTCTCAAAACAAAGGAATTACCTGCATGGTAAATTCTCGGTCAGAATCAGTACTTTTTACTCACAAGAGCTCAAAAAAAACAACAACAACGAAAACACACATTAACTTCTGGTTCAGTGAGATTCTCTGTGCAAGTGTTTCCAAGTTGATGTGTGAAAGACAAAAACCACAGTAACAGGACTGCCAGCAGCAGAGAAGCAGTGTGGTAAACAAGTCTGTGCGAAGGCTATGGGCAATGACAGAAGCCTGAGGCATTTCACATTCACTTGTCAATATTTTCTTCGTGTCCCCTATACACCCAGCACTATTCTAGCACTGAAGATAGAATGCCGGCCAAACACAGACAAAATTCCTGCCATCAAGAGTTTGTGTGAATGCTCTAGTTGGTTTAACTCAGTTGATAAGAGGGATCAGCCTGCAGAATGAAGGGTACTGGGTACGATTCCGGGCAAGGGCATGTATCTCAGTTGCAGGCTCAATCCCCAGCCCTGGTCGGGGCATGTGTGGGGGAGGCAAACCAATCAATGTGTCTCTCTCACATCAACGTTTCTCTCTCTCTATTCCACTCTCTCTCTAAAAAAAAAAAAAAAAAAAAAAAAAAAAAAATCATTGGAAAAATATCCTCAAGTGAGGATTAACAACAACAACAAAAACGATTTTGCGTGAACTTTGCAGTATGTGAGGTGTTACATGGTATGAAAAGAAAGAAGGCAGGGTAGGGGAGAGGAAAACTGAGGGGCCAGAGGGAAGGTTGCTATATGGGCAAAGATTGAAGGAAACAAGGAACATGGGTATCTGGCAAAGATCCTGAAGCAGAAGTATTTCTAGGACTGAGAGACTGTGAGGAGATCAGACTGAGCAAGGGGATGGCACAGAGAAGAGAGCTGGGAGGGCAGGCACTGGCCTTAGGCAAGGGGGCCTGGCAGGGTTGCTACATTTTTTCTTATACTCAAATGCAAAACAAGTGGCAATGGAAAAAAAAAAAAAAACACATACCGAACAAATGAAAAAGCAATGTTTTACCTCATTCATTGGTGGCAATGCAGTCCATGAATTTGCATCTGGATCATACTTTTCTCCTGAGCTCAGGGTCTGCTTATTTTCATCTTGGCCCCCAAATACAAACAAAAATCCTTCTGCAAAAATCAAAGGAGACACACAAGAAAGTTGAAACAAATCTTCAATACCCACCTCCAGTTGAATATAAATGCCATAGCTGCAAAGAGTGTGGAGAAACCTTCTCTGATAACAACAACAGATTTGAGATCTTTATCAGATTCCATTCCTTCCTTGGTGGGAGAGGAAGTCTGAGTCACTGACCATTTTACTTCACTCAGTATGTTTGAATGGATTCCCGTTACCCTACAGCATAAAAGGAAGACACCACCCACTCAAGCCACAAGCAGCTCTGGGTTATCTCAGGACTTCTATTCTAGGAAACTATTCAATCTTTCTTTTAAAGGCTTTGAGGGGATGAAAAAGACAAATCTAAACCCCAGCCCCACAGCAAATGGTGGAACCCTCAGGATGAAGTCCAACCAGAACTAGAAACCAGATTTAGATCTCCTTGCCTATCCAGGAAATCTCAGTATTTGAATTTGATTAATAGTAATTCCAAATTAATACTGTACTCAGGTATAAGAAGAAACTAGATTATATGAAGCAGACAATAGCAGGTAGTCTTGCAAAAAATTCAAATTTCAAATATTAAAATAATTAAAAGACTTAAACATCAATGCTTACTATGTTTAAGAAATAATGGACAAATTTGAAAATAACTCTTTAGAAATGTGACTATAGAATTGACTAGCAGATTTGAAAAAGATTTTAAGAGAATTTCTAGAAATAAAAAATAGAGAACAAATAAAATCAAAAGTTCAATAAATGGTTTTTAATGGCAGATCCATCATAGTTAAAAAGATAACTCATTAAATGGAAGATAAATAAAAAGAAATAATAAAGAAAGCAATACAGTGTGGCAAAAACATAAAAAACAAAGTAATGGTAGGAGGCAGAGGATGGAGTAAAAATGTCTAGCCATGATTAATCTGACTTCCAAAATCAAAGGGAGAAAAGAGAATACAGCAGAGGCAGTATTTTGAAGACATAATGAATAAGATCCAGATTTAAAAGGCTGACCCACAGATTCAAGATTCTCAATGATCCCCGAGTACGGTAAAATGTCAAATAAAATGTACGTGTAAGCACACGTAATGAAATGGCAGAAAACTAAGGAAAAAATATTTTAAATACAATCCTGGGAAAAGATAGATTTTTAGGCTGATAACTTAACAACAATAACAGCCAGAAGTCAGTAAAAAGATATCTTCAATGTGCTGAAAATTAATAAATACCAACCTTAAATTCTATACCTAGAAAAAATACCCTTTAAAAAATGAAGGCAAAGTAATGATATTTTCAGACAAATAAATCTGAAGAGAACCACAATGAAGAAAATTCAAATGAATAAACTTTAAAGAGAAGGAAAATGATCCTAGATGGAAGGTCTGAGGAGCAAGGAAGGAAAAACAAAGTGGTAAACATGTGGGTAAGTTTACACAATCTACCTATAGTTACATATATAAAACATAGGCTAATGAAACATGTAACATAGGAAAATATTATACTTATAAATAATCATGTATTTTAATACTACTAAACTGGAAAACATGAAAAATAAGAGTATAAAAGTACTAGTTAACTTTAGGCTTTGATAATAGGCTCCGGTTTCTAAGGAAACCTTCAAAGGAATATACACAAAAAGTGTAACTTCTAAACTAGTATAAAGGGAAAGAATAAATGACAAAAAAAGTCAATCAATTAAAAAAATGTAAGAAAAGAACAAATGCAGAAGAGGCTTGGCAAAATAGGAACTACTCAATCGTTTCACAACCTCAGTCTATACAACTGGGCATAATTCTTCTCCTCATGGCTTAAAGTTTCTGAAATATCAAACTCTCAAGGAAATTTTTGAAAATTAGTGATATAGGAACCTTTATGGTAGGTGTGCATGTGAGAAAATTCTAAATATGTATATACATTATAGGTGAAAATTTAAGGAAGCAAATTCTGAAAAGATAGAACAGAGAAATCAGCCCTACATCCTGCTGGCTATACCACTCCATCCAGCTGCTTATTTTTGACAATAGTTTCAATTAACCTGGCACCCAGAAAATTATTCAATTTCTACACTAGAGTATAGATTTAGCCATTTCTAGAACATGGTATGGTGTGATATAGCTTTAAAAATTTTTAAGGTAACATTAGTGGGCAAGTAGAGACTATAAAGTAAGGATCCCAGAAGAACTGCTGACAAAAATGAGAATGAAGTGAAATAGTAGTTGTGGGGTGAACCCAAAAGGCAGATCCAAGATTAAGAGAAAGGAGGCCAACAGGAGTAAGGCAGCAAAAACAACCTTCTTCTATCATTTCCTTGAGTAAGAGCTTTGAATACTTTCAAACTTATAAAGGTCAACTAAAACATCCTTTCTGTGGTAAAATAACTTTTTGCCATTGCTAAGTAATGTTTTCTAACATCTCATATGAATTGCCTGCTTTTACAATACACTCTTATTTTAGACAGTTATATGTTGTAATTCTAAATTGAATTTCAAAGATGATGGGACTTTCACAGCTCCAAAAAATTCTGTGTTCCAAGAATGGTCACATAGCTCATCGTTTTTCTATCAGTTAGGTCATCAATTAAAATACTAAAGTCTGAAAAATTGCTATGTATTATAATTTGGGGACAATAAAGACAAAAGACACTTTTCTAAAAGTTAGAAAATTGTTGAAAATGTTATCACAGAGAGATAATAAAATTGTCTCTTTACAAGGTTGTCAGCCTTGGTTGGTGTGGTTTAGCAGTTAGAACATTAGCCAGTGAAGTGAAGGATCAAAGGGTTGAGGGTTCAAATCTGGGTCAAGGGCATCTACCTCCATTGCAGGTTCAATCCCTGGCCCCAGTTGGGGTGTATGCAGGAGGCAACCAATTGATGTGTCTGGGTTTCTCTTACATTTATATTTCACTTTCTCTCCCCCCACAACCCCCGCCTCAGCATCCTCTTTACTCTCTCTAGAAATCAATGGGAAAAATATACTCGGGTGAAGATTAACCAAAAAATAAATTTAAAAAAAGGCTGAGTTGTTCTGTACAACCCAGAAATTACACATTACTTGATCGTGTGTTTAAGTAAAATTTCCCACAGAACGGTACCTGCTGAGAGCACTCCGTGGTTAATTCTTGGCATGCTTAAAGGGGCCAGTTCAATCCAAAGCTGCCTATTAGGGTCATAAAGAGGGCACATGCAGCGCATTGCTGCTGTTGGCTTCCGTGAACTAAAAAGGGAAATACATTAGCAGTTAATATGTTTTATGTAGTTCTGCTACAATAACTATGACTACTTTTACTGCTCAAAAAAGTGTTTAAACGATTTAAAAAAATCTACTGCTACCATGCTTTAGATACTGAAAAATAGTATGAACTCTTGTTCCCACAGAGATCTCTCTTCCCTTATCCATTTTCAAACAACACACACCCATACTTACACTCTTTCTTCTCCACCAACAGTCACGATGCACTCTGAGTAGCCCCGGGGTTTGAAATTGGCCAGCATTGCCTCTCCTTGCTGTGGCTGGCTCAGTGGTATATTGCTGCACTCTTTGACAATTTCTCGTACTAATGGTTCATTTAGCATTTGTTCCCGTAAGTAGCTGGAGTCTAATCCTGAAACCCACAGTGCTGACATAACGTCCTTCATGTGGACCTGCAGAAGAGGGCAGAGAGGATGGGGAGGAAAAATGGAGAATGCAATACATAGCTTTTAGAATATGGATTTCCCAACTCATAGAACACTGAAATTGTTGATAGTCAGACTATCAAGAGGCAAGTTATAAGTGCTAGTACTCCATAAATATGCTTACTAGCCCCTTTCCTTTCTATTTCCCATAGTCTTGATTTTTTTTTTTATAAATATTTTTTAAAATTGATTTTTCACAGAGAGGAGAAGAGAGGGATAGAGAGTTAGAAACATCGATGAGAGAGAATCATCGATCAGCTGCCTCTTGCACACTCCCTACTGGGGATGTGCCCGCAACCAAGGTACATGCCCTTGACCGGAATTGAACCTGGGACCTTCAGTCCGCAGGCCGACGCTCTATCCACTGAGCCAAACCGGTCCCGGCCCATAGTCTTGATTTTTTAAAAAGTTTAATTTGAAAAAAGTCATTAATTCATATTTATATTCGATTATCATTGCAAAGTTTCAAGCAGCTTTCTTTACAACCTATAGGGTTCCCATAGCAATAAGATAACTTGCAAGAACTCTGCTATAATTTGCTTGAATGTGCTATGAATCAAATCACATTTATAGAATTATATACAGTAATAGCTTGATACAATATGGTAAACCAGTTAATGAAAATGTTTCAATATTAATATTACATGAAAAAATTAGAAAAGACAAAGTTTAAATTAGAAAAGACAAATTAAAAAAGAAAAATGAGAAAAGACAAAGTTTAAAGAAAAGACTTAGTATATAATTATTTCTTAATTAATTATTGTTAAACATATGTAACATGTAAATATGAATTGTATATTTTTCATGATCCATCATTAAATTTGAACCAAATGATTATAGCATTATATACCCAAGGTGACACTCTTTAATGACTAGTCTTTCTTGGTTTTGAAATAATAATTTTAAGGTATACTCTTCTGTACCCTGAGTATTAAAAGGCAAGAGTTTGGCTCAGTAGTAGAGCGTCGGTCTGCGGACTGAAAGGTTCGATTCCGGTGAGGGGCATGTACATTGGTTGCGGGCACATCCCCGATAGGGGGTGTGCCAAAGGCAGCTGGTCGATGTTTCTCTCTCATTGACGTTTCTAGCTCTCTCTCTCCCTTCCTCTCTGTGAAAAATCAATAAAATATATTTAAAAAAAAAAAATATATATATGTATAAAAGGCAAGAGTTTTTACAGCATCATGTTCAGATTAACCAAAAAAATGAAAAACTGCCTGACTGTTTCTAAAACAGTCAGATGACCTTAGCATCATCATCACTTTCAGGCAAGAAAGGGGTTAGGGAGAAACTACTGATAGTGGTCTCAGCGAATGGCACAAGCTGGAAAATGTTCTATCTTCTTCCCTAACTTACCCAACGAATGTGGAAATAGAACATCAACTGTATAACTATGCTGAGACTACAAGCATAGTTTCTGGACATACTCATAGGCCTACAGAATTTACAAAATTATACGATAATCATTCAAACATAAGTCAATGGTTATCAAGAACTTAATAATGCAATTGTACATTTCAAAAACTACTCTAAAACCTAATGTAATTCTCATTGTAAATATAGTAAGTAAAGCTAGCATCTAATTTATAAGTACTGGATTTTGCTTCCTCCCCCATGGTACCAACAATTTGGATCTAAAGCCTGATATTATTGAAGACCCTTCCTTCCCAGGCTCACTTCCAGAACCTTCCTACTTGGACCTGCATTGTTATGAAAACTTCAGAGTGCTCTCCTGCTTTCTCCCCAGTTGTGTCAAGCACTCCAGGGAGAGCCCACAGCCCTCACCCCTGTGCCAGAGCTCCAAGTGCCCCCCTTGCCCTGCTGCCTGCATCAGAGTTGCTGACGAGGTTTAGGATGCCCAATGACTTAGGATGATGAAAGTGAGTCTGAGGACACTGCATTTCTTAACCTTGAAATGCATTTTTCCATAAAGAACAACATACAGATGATATTATATTCTGAAACATCAACCGCTTTAATGATCCTATGGGAAGATGTTTTACAGATATTTTTTAGAACATAACTTTTCAAGTCTTTCACAATGAAGGAGAAAGACATCAATAACCTGGATTAAAAATAACTAAATCAATGAAATAAGTAAAAAGACAAAGTTAGACAACATTATAAACTACAAGTACCTTTCTCATTTCTGAATCATGTGCTATCCATCGAATTACTGCCTCAAATACGTATCTTTCATTGCCAACGTTTAACTTCTCAAGAGAAATCACTTCTTTAAGCTTCTGAGGACTCAGTTCTAGGAATTCTTCTGTGCTGCTGACATCACGAAAGTGAGTCTCCAGGTATTCCGTGGCAAGGTAATGCACATGGTGCAGGCAGTAGTGAAGTGCAAAGTCACGGATCCCAATACAGTTCTCAGCAGCAATGCAGCCTTCTAAAAACTCGCAGCACAGAGTTTTAAGATCCGTCAGCAGGAGCAGGTCTGCTGCCTGTACAACATCTTGGATGGTATCTTCATTTAGCCGGATCTGTCAGAATTTCATAAATATTTTACATTTGAATATATATATATTTAAAACCCAAACCACTAATCTATTAAGCTGAACCACATGAAAGCTCCATTTTTGTAGGTCAAAGGTGATAAAATATTGGCAATTTCATATGGCTTAACATTGTACTTTTATCCAAGAAGAGTCTGAGGGCCCCAAGGAACCTTTGAACAACATAAGCAGTGAGTGGTTGGTTAACTTTTCCTACCGTGTCCCTTGCTTTACCAATGTTAACTACCAATAACTCTTCAAGGTGGACTATCCAGTTGACTTACTTCTATACTCAATTTAGAGAAAAACCTTAAATGATTGAAATGCTTAGGAAACTGAAAGTTCTGTATTCTATGGTAAACTGAAGGTGATTTCTTTAAATAGTAGAACCAGGACTATGGGAAATCTTGCCTCCAATATATTAAGTTCATGCCTTTGCCAAAAGGTATGCAAACTAAATGTAAGGCCCTTTAAGAAAAGGGATCCATACTGCCTTAGAAGATTCGTCTGAACACCAAACACTGTACTCGACTTGGTGCAACAAATACAATTTGGTCCCAAAGCTACTTTTAGGAAAGAATCCCTTTTATAAGACATTAGTAATAATTCTGAACATTTACTTATCCTTAATTTTCTTAGTTTTCTGGCCGATGCTTCTTCCTCCACCCACTTGACGGTTTTTCTATTCAATATTAAAGCGATGTAAAGAAACAGGCTTCTAAGATATTGCCATGAGCACATGTGGTCCCAAGAATGGTATTCATCCCTCCATTCGAAAATGGGAGGAGAGGGTTCAGACTATAGAACAGCAAGAAACACTACTACATTTTACACATTTGTACCACAGATTTTTAAAAAATGTATAATTGCCAACAACCTTGGAAAATGAGCAACAAAAGTAGAAAGAAGTGTATGGAGTTAGCTACAAGTATGGAGAAATTTCCCACTTACATAACATTAAATTTAGCCACAAGACAGTGGATAGCTGTAAACTATTCAAATGTAGGCATGTAAAAACACACACACACACACACAAAAAAAAACAACACACTAAATTCCATCTCAGTAAAACTAAACTGCCGTTATCAGAAGTTTGCTATAGCTTACCTTGTAACTATGATTTTAAAACCACAATTAATTTAAATTGGGAACAAAAGCTGTAAATAAGGCTTCAGGTTTCAAACCTAAGCCTTAACATGAGTAAGCTCTTACTGGCTCATAACTTGCTACAACTGCTACTGAATCAATTTTACAAGTTAGATTAGAGATTGATGCTAAGCCTGGTTTTCTCCTGAATTTTAAGGGCTGCCCTAAAACTAATTTAAATTTATTTATTTTTAACAATCATACAACACCTAACCTTATATCCACACACCCACCACCTAGTGTTTAGAGAAAAGAAGATAACATCATGAAACTAAACCAAAAACTTCAAAAAAGGATAGCATTCACCGAGTTTGACTAGACAGAATGAATATATTTAGAGAAAGTAAGCAGCACACTCAGAATATTTAGAAACATGTAGGAGACACAGCCTTTACAAAAAGGAAAAGTAACATAAGATGAAGAAGGAATAAAGACAATCAGAAACAAGCTCTCAAAAAGAGTAAAGATACAATGCATTCTCATTAACTTTTTCCTTAAAAAAAAAAAAAAAAAAATGAGCCCTAGCTTACACCTAAGATTTTTCTTACGAGTTCTCATGTTATACTTTCAATCACACAATAGCAGGCAGGGGGTTAGAAGAGGGCAAAGAAGTCTACTCACTTATCACTTTCCTCTCCAGGTTTCATTAAACCCCCAGAAACGTAAGTGGGAATAAAGGGAAATTCAGAAAGAAAGAATAGGGGTGGTGGATACTGGTTCTGCTGAGACAACAGGATCAAGGCATCATGAATACAATGCAGGTGCCTGTCATTTGTGTCTAGAACTCTATTTCTAAATATCTCCCCTGCCCAAGGAAGTTCCCATTTCCATGCGATGGAGAAAGAATGAGTTCCTCAACAGCATGGGAAAAAAGCAAAATTGGAATTAAGATTTAAAAACAAAAAGCAGCAGTGAAAGGAGCATTCCACATTCTTCACATTTCATACTAGAAGGTGGAGCTCAGGATGTAAAATAAAAAACTGGGACCAGGGAAGATCTTGTTTAGTCTGCCTTTCTGTAAAGAGCAGAGCCCCCAAAGAACACATGTGGGCGCCATTAACAGGAGCAGAGACCAGTCAAGCACATGGCGACAGAAGATGAAGATGAAGGTTACGTGGTCACAGAATGGATGAAAGGAGACCCTCACCCTCAGCTTGAGAAGCCTCTACTTAGTCTTCCTTCCTTTGTGTCTCATCATACCTGACCACTGAAGATGTAATCCAGGATCTCTCTCATAACCATTACCGATATCCCTTCAAGTTCAATCTTATAGGTTGATCCATCATCTTTTGGAGGATTATAGTTTAACTTTGTCCTAAGAAAGGAAAAAAAATGTAAAATTTCTATGAAAGAGCAAATAGGTATAAATAATTATGCACTAAATACTCTATAAAGTTTATGATAATACCAGTATATGAACCTCACCTTGAAAATTCAGTTAACTTTAGATCAATATATATATTTTTTATAACTTTCAACTCCTAAATATTTGTTCCAGGACTCAAAATGCTACTTCTTAAAACACACACACACACACACACACACACACACACACACAAAACAAAAACAAAAAACAAACAAACCACCAAACAGACAAGACAACCAAATAAGATCCATGTGAAAAAGGATCTCTATTACTTTACCTTGGGAATCTCAGGTCTTCCAGCTTATTTTTCCATGTATTTAATTATCCAATTATTTTTTAATAAAGTAACTAGGACCCTACAAACCTAACAACCAAAACAAAAGTTATGTACGATGCTGACAATAACCTGCTTCTAATCAATGTTCCTCTTCACCACTTCACTCTACTTCTGCCATCCCAAGTAACGATTACCCTAAATCCTATGTTCAATTTTCCCTTGCGTTCTTTTTGCATCCATGAAATATATATGACACAATATATATTTTTTAACCAATTGATTTTTTTTCATTTTTTTAATTGTTTGAAGCATTACAAATAGTAGTACACTATGTCTCCTTTTTTCCCCTTGACCTCCCCCCAGCCTCCTCTACACTCCAGCATACGCATTCACCTGCTCCCCCTTCCCCCATATCTTGTATCCATTGGTTATGTTTATATGCATGCATACAAGTCCTTCGGTTGATCTCCTACAGCCCCCAGCCCCCAACCTCCCTTGCCTTCCCGCTACAGTTTGACAGTCTGTTCTATGGTTCTTTATATATGACACAATATTATTGTGTTCATTAAATATATAATTGTATTCATTAAATACATAATATATACATATTTATTATATCCATGAAATATAATATAAACATCCATTAAACATAAAATATGTAAATAAATGCATCTACATATAATTTTAAGTTGTTAATTTTATAAAAGAGCTTCATGTTATCTATAATCTTTTGTGGCTTTTTTCATTTAGTATTATATTGCTAAGAGTCATTTATATTGCTGCATATCACACTGGTTTTCTGTTCTTTCTACTGTATAATATTTCACTTTCCTATTGATGTGCCTCTGGGCCATTTCCAGGTTTTCAATATTGTGAAGAGTATTGCTAGGACTATTCTTGTACATGTCTTCTTTTGTATTAGGCAAAACAAATTTCCCTTGAGAGTATCTCTGGGAGTAGAATTATGCTAGTTATTCTCCAAAGTATGAGATGATACTAAATGACTCTCCAAAGTAGTTAGAGAGCAGTTTATAGCCTCATCAGGTATGTATACGAGAACTTGTGGACCCACAAATTCTACGACTCTTGAGTCTGTCATAATTCCTAAATTCTGCCAATCTAGTGAATGAAATATAATCTCTCATTGCATTATGATCTGCATTTCCCTCATAATCCAGATGCTGAACATCTCTTAAGTTTGTGGTCACATGTATTTCCTCTTCTGTGGGACACTCCTTCAGTTCCAATTTCTTCTTCAGTTTTTTTTTTTACTGAGTACAAAGTCTTCCTCATATTAAGGTGGAGAAGTCCTTTATTATATTCTTGATATTAATCCTTTGGCAGATTTGACACTTAACATGATGAGCAATAATTTTTCATGGTCAATGTTTTTTTGTGTCTTGTTTTAAGAACTGGTACCTTACCCAAGATCTAAAAGATACTCCTAATTTAGCAGAGGAAAGCTAAGACACAATCTAAATTAAATTGCGCTTAAGATCCCCCAAAGGATTGAAATTGGTAGTATGAGGAAGCTGTGAATAGAAGAGTAAAAGATGAGCTAAAAATACAATGGACTGACAAAGTCTTAATAGTTGAATTCCCAGATCCTTCTTCCACATATACATACAACTCTCCTGCAAGTTTAGTAAGGCTCTCCCCAGTTCCAGTAGAAGATAAGTGTTTGTATTCTGAAATATAAAACTGAGGGTAGGTCTCTGGGCAGGGTGATATTAGGTTCATTTGAGGTAGGTTTATCATGTCAAAAACTGAATTAAGAGAGTGTTTACATACTGAATGCTGAGACTACCAGTCTTTTTCTCATCTCTGCTCCTAAAATGCTGAAAGCCAGACCTATGGCCTCCATGCAAAAAAAAACACCCCAAAACTGGAAGACTCTTTTGGAGAATTTGATCAATTTGATCAAAGGAAAGACTTAAAGATATGGACATAGATCTGCCCCTAGAAAACAACCTAGCTTTATCATGCAACAGTGAAACTCACAGTCAGTAAGCCTACAGGCTCTGGGCTTCCAATATATATGGAGCAGCACTTCTGAAACTTCTTCATGTCACATCACTCGTAGAAAATGTAACCTTACCCTGGGGCAGACAGATGAGGCTGTGTGCAGGCCAGGGGTGGGCAGAGACCTAGCCTCACTAATTGCTGCCCAGACACTCTAGGAATGACACCATCATTATGTTTACACACTTGTAACAGATTTTTTGTTAATCCTTACTTGAGGATATTTTTTTTTATTTTTAGAATACATTGATTTTTAGAGAGTGGAAGAGAGGAGGAGAGACAGAGAGAGAGAAACATTGATATGAGAGAGACACATCAATTGGCTGCCCTCTGCATACACCCTGACCAGGGTCAGGGATCCAGCCTGCAAACCAAGGTACATGCCCTTGACTAGAAATAGAACCCAGGATCCTATAATCCTTGGGCCAATGCTCTGTCCACTAAGCCAAAACATGAAGGTTCTAACCTAGTTTTTTTTTTTTTTTTTTTTTTATAACCAGCCAGACTACCAATCAAATGTCAACAGAGAATATTTCAACTTCACAAGGTCTCAAAACAATTTATCCCCCACAAAACCTTTCTCAAAATAATGTTGGAAAATGTGTCCAACAAACAAGGCAGTGAATTTAGTATTCCCTGGTTACTAAACAGGGAATAATGAAGGATGGTATTAGGATAACAGCTAGTACCAGTAAAAGGAAGCCAGTCGATTTTGGTATCAGTAGAAGACCTCAAAGATGAAACTGATGCAATATATAATGACCTGAAGGTATAAAGAGAATATTCAGATAACTTGTTTCCTCCCCATATTTCATACCTGCTATTCCTGACTATAGTTTCTACTGAACTGTTTTACTCAAAATGTACTTAAAACACACACACACACACACACACACACACACACAAAAAAAACAAACAAACAAAAAAAAAAAAACAACCAAAAATGTATTTCATTGTATTCTTGTTGTACCCTAGCTTTATCTATATTCCTAACACTTCCATTAAAAGTGAAGAAAAACTTCAGTCAATTCTTAATCAAGAGAGAAAAATAGTATAAGTGGTATGAATAATACTAAAACATTAATATTTGGCTCTGAAATGCATCATGTACTATTTTGGCAGCAGACACATCTTCTAATAATGTTTCACTTAGGATGTCATATATTTTTCAGTCACTGTGCTGGTTATCAACATATCAATTCTCGGATCCAAATTCACCCATTTTTAAAATTTATTTTTAATATTTTTTATTGATTTCAGAGACAAAGGGAGAGGATGAGAGAGAGAAACATCAATGTTGAAGAATCACTGATTGGCTGCTTCTTGCATACCTCCCTTCCCCACTGGGGATCGAGCCCGAAACCTGGGCATGAGTCCTTGACTGGAATCAAACCTGAGACCCTGCAGTCCATAGGCCAACACTTTATCCACTGAGCCAAATGAGTTAGGGCTTTATTTATTTATTTAATCTTCACCTGAAGGTATTTTTCCATTGATTTTCCCCCCAAAATATATTTTATTGATTTTTTTACAGAGAGGAAAGGAGAGAGAGAGAGAGTTAGAAACATCAATGAGAAAGAATCATCGATCAGCTGCCTCTTGCACACCCACTACTGGGGATGTACCCACAACCAAGGTACATGCCCTTGACCGGAATCGAACCTGGGAACTTTCATTCCCCAGGCTGACGCTCTATCCACTGAGCCAAACTGGTTTCGGCTCCATTTTTTTTTTTTTTTAGAAAGTGGAAGAGATAAGGAAAGACAGAGAGAAATATCAATGTGAGAGAAACACACCAATTGGTTGTCTTCTGCATGTGCCCTGTCCGGAGCCCAGGCCGGGGAGGAACCTGAAACTGAGATAGGTGCCCTTGATCAGAATCAAACACAGGATCCTTCGGTCCACTGACATTCTGTCCACTGAGCCAAACCAGCTAGGGCCCAAGTTCACCCTTTTTGCAGGCTCTGTTAAAATGGATCTGAGCTTTTAGCTGAAACCGGTTTGGCTCAGTGGATAGAGCGTTGGCCTACAGACTGAAAGGTCCTGGGTTTGATTCTGGTCAAGGGCATGTACCTTGGTTGCGGACACATCCCCAGTGGGGAGTGTGCACGAGGCAGCTGATAGATGTTTCTCTCTCATCAATGTTTCTAACTTTCTATCCCTCTCTCTTCCTCTCTGTAAAAAATCAATAAGAAATATATTTTTAAAAAATGGATCTGAGCCTTTAAAAATGACCTTTTGTCAACTAGCAAGATGTTATGGTTTTCAGGAGAGGATGCTGGAAGACATTAGAGGAGAGTTAGGTTTCTGGGCTCTGGTACTGCACCTATCAGGAGGTAGGCTGCTACAACATAGTCTGCATTTCCCCATCAGGCTCCTGCAGTACACAGCTACCTCCGTGTCCAGTAGTTTTCCCTAGAATCTCCTGCAGGCAGTTCAATAGTAGAGTGTTTTTGGTGCAATACCTCTCCGAGAAGAGCTTTCCCAGGCACAGTAGAGGACAGATTTCAGAGGGTTGGTTTAAATCAAGTCCCACCAGTGTGACTTCTCTGCCATGCAGTGAGCCATGGCTGGGCCTGTCCAAAAAATCCTAGATCTCAGCTGGGGATTGTGGCTACTTCTTTTATCAGGGATTCCTGTATTTTCCAGT